AGAAAGATGCTTTTATGTAATTGTGTTAGGGTCAGCTAACTGTTAAAACAGAAAATCCTCAAAAGATATAATTGCTCGCTCATGATAAAAATGTGTGTCTTGTTCATATGATAGTTCTTAGCAGGAAAACAGGACACACATTTATTAGAGACCTAGGCTGATGGAGCATGTGCCACCTTTAACTTGAGGCTTCAAAGGTGGCCTTAGGGTTGTCTCCATCTAATCAGGTTCAAGTTTAAAGTGCCTGGAGCAGCATTCATGGTTGGTGTCTCCATGAACTGGGCCCGGAAATGGTGACATCCACTTTCATTCAGAGTTACACTGTCACAGGGCCACACCTAACTCTGAGGGTAGCAGGGATATGTAGCGTGGCTGTGGGTCCAGGAGAAGGAGGAGAACACAGGTTTTAGAAAGGAACTACCTGTCTCTGCCATAGAATTGTTAGACTGTCCTCTGTGAACAGACTCTAAGGAAATGTCCGTTTCCTTCTGGTATGTAGCTAACATTGGGGTGACTCTTTGAGACATGGCATATTTAGTTATGGCTCATGGTTATTGTTCTTCTAAAGGAGTGAGGATGTGTGCCATCACAGAAGTACAGGAGGATAGGAAAGTTCCATTGCAGTGCCTGTGGGTGCAGGCATTGTGCTAGGTGCTTTACATACATGGTTTCATTTACTCTTCACAGTGATCCTAGAAGAAAGGTATTTGTATCATGTTTTTCCAGGTGAAAGAATGAGTTTTGGTCACTTACTTTCTGTAGTTGGTGGAACTGATTTCTGAATGTATGTGTGTGTGTATGTGTGTGTGTGTGTGTGTACACACATGCCAGAGGAAATTGAGACCAGGTTATTAGGAGCACCTGATGTTTGTAGGCAAATTAGCTATAATTTCGCTCTGAAGTTGCTAGAGGGCCAGACCATTATAAATAGGGAAGCAGGTTGATTACCATGACAGTAGAAATGATTTTTTTCTGAAGATATGGGTAAACAGTTCAATTTAACAGCCTTTGAACGTGGGATGATTGTTGGCGCTTGGAGCCATGGAGCGAGTATCAGCAAAACAGCTGAATTCATTAAATGTTCAAGAGCAGCTGTTGTTAAAATGTTTAAAGACTGGACTGTCAGCCGAAAATCTGGGTCTGAACATGTGAATTATGGCCGTCAGCGACTAGTCAATGTTAGGGCAGAACGGAGAGTGACAACACTGGTACAAGACAACAGAAGGGCAACAGTGCATCAACTTACTGCAGATCTTAATCAGGGATCCTCTCAAATGATCTCTGAACGCACTGTTCACCATATACTGCATCGTATGGGATATGGAAGCCGAAGGCCTGTTCGAAAACCTTGGCTGTCTACCGTTACCAAGATAAAACGTCTCCATTTCGCACAGGAACACAAGGATTGGACAGTTGAGCATTGGAAAAAAGTCATGTGGTCAGATGAATCACATTTCCAGTTGCATCATGCAGATGGCAGAGTGGGAATTTGGCGGAAACAGCATGAAAGCATGTACCCCACAGGCC